AACTTTTTTATATTTGCAGTTTATTTGCTCTGATTGTTTTTGGAGCTGTATATAGTACAAATTGCATTTATTTTAACTTTGATGAGCCACCATCGCCCTTTGTAAATAGTACAGATATTGAGCTTTTTGATCTTCTTATACCTTTGTCTAAATGTGCAGCAAGGTAAATATTGATTTTTTAGTGCTTTGTAGTTTATAGTGTTAACAGGTATTCTAGGATTATGGAATATTTATAAATTGGTTTTGAAAAGAAATTAATAATTATTTTAGCTAGAGAGCTTTTCCCTTAAAAAATACCTCACTGTTTAAAATTTAAATATAATAAAAATAATTGTTAATATGTTAAGGTGATCAGTTAATTTATTGGTTAGTTGATATTTGACATCATTTTAGAAACACGAACAGCAGAAATTGCTTGAAAAACTCTTGATTAAATCTTTGGATTTAAAAATATTAATTTCATTCACTGTGCATGGCCTCATAATTCACTTTTTTATTTAAAATATTTTGCATTTTAGGAATTTCATTGGTAATTCTCTGGAAATGTTTTAATTCAGTGATACATACATAAGCATTTTTTTTTTTTAAAATATTCTTCTTAACGATAAGATATGTAAATTTGAGCTCACCAGATTTAAGCAGATGAAGCTACTGTTACTAGAAATATAGTTGTTGGTTACCTGTTTCTAATAATCTCCATAAAATAAGCAATTATAAAGTATGGAAAATATTAAATATGAATTTAACTGTTTCCGTATTTAAAATATGGAAACATTTAAATCAATTAACCATACATCAATTGATACCTTAATCTGATTTAGATTAAGGTACCAATTTATAGATTATTTATAAGCACTGATCTTCAATTACCAAATATACTGCTAATAGTTTTATTTCTAGTATTTTGCAATTCTGTATATATAATGCTTGTTCAAACCTGCCGTGCATTTTGATTTATACAGGTACTAAGTAGTATTTGCTTGTGTTTTTTTAATCCTGCTCAGTTTGACTGTGATATATTTCTAGCTTATTGTTTTAAATAATACATATTTACACTTAATTATTTACGCTTAATTTTTATATTGTTTCTTGTATAATTCATGAGTCCTGGATTTATCCGGTAATGGAACTTAAACTATTAGAATTTTCCCAAGATGATATCGTACTATCAGACAATCAAGAATATGATAATTCTTATCAAATGAAGTTATATGAAAAAAATTTGGAAGTAAATACAGTAAATATAGACAAACTGTATGAATACTTCTTGTGAATTGGTTCAAAAGAAATTAGGTAATATATGATACTATAAATGAGTCTTATGACTCTCTTAAATCATAACAAACTGGAATAATTACCTAATATGTATTTGAGATGGAACTGTAATATAATGGAATAATTTTGTAAGTGTGTATTTGACATGAATGCTGTTAAATTTAGAACAAAGTCTGTGGTTCAGCATATATAATCAAGATTGGTGATTAAAAAAAGGTTAACATTAGTAGAGAAAACCAGATGATGTTGTAGAGACATTAAGTGTTTTTTGGAAGCAGGAGATGTGACAAATGAGCAATGCCCTCGCCGGGAATTGAACCATGGATGCACTCAGCATGCAGACCACTACACCACGAAGGCACGCTAAGAAGGTTGGAGAAATACCTTATATACTCCCCTTTTTAAAGGGTGACTGGAGTTTAGGGGACCCATCGCCAAATCCTGAGTGTGGAGAATCATCATCCACTTTTAGTTTGAGCGCCAGTGTAGAGATATTAGGTATTTTTTATTATTAGCATTAGGTATTTAGCAGGAGATGTGAAAAATGAGCAATGACATCGCTGAGAATCGACCCACGAACCTCTGGAATACACGTCCAGTGTGCAGATCACTACACCATGAAAGTACGCTAAGAAGGTGTAGAAATAGCTTATAATGTCATTTCTCATAAAAAACAAATGATATTGTTTGACCCTCTATCTTTATATATATATATATATATATATATATATATATATATAAATAGTTATAATTGAAGCAGCAACAAATTAAAAAAAGAAAAAAAGAAGAGAGATTAATCTGCATTGAAGCTGCTAGGTTATAATAAATTGATAATTAAGTTAAAGGTCAGAACGTAAATTAAATATAAATTTAGTTCTAGAAATTAAAAAGGTATACCTCTTCTTGTCTCCAGGAAATGGCTACAAAAACCGAGGAAGCACGAATGAAGGGTACAAATTAAAAATGGCAGTGTTTAAAGAAAAATTTTAACAGAAAAAAAAAAAAAAAAAAAAAAGTCTTCTTTGTTTAATTTTGGGACAATTTTATTGCAGTTTGTATATCTACAGTCTTATGTTCTGTTGTTCTTAAAATTTTCGTTAAACACTTCTGTTTTAAATTTGTATTCATTTGCTTTTACTCTGTTTTTGTAGCCAATTCCTGGACACAGAAATAGATAGACCTTTATAATTTTTGGAACTAAATTTATATTTAATTTACATTCCAAGCTTTAACTTCATTATCTATACATATAATTTAAATTAAAGTAGAAAGAACAAACGATAAAAGACCTATATGGTCAAAAATTTTGCGCATTGGGCTGCAAAATTAAAGAAATTAAAAGATAAATTCTAGTATGAATGCTAAAAAGCTGCTTAAATACTGTGGTTTCGTGAAAACTTTAACATAGCAAAATTAGTTGCAATGAAATGTGTTAAAAGAGAAAAATACTACATTTGATTATTTACAAGTAAAAATCAACAATAATAGTAAGCTAAACTAATTAAGTATATTTAAAACATAGTAAAAGTATTAACTCATTAATTGAGTTAAAATTAAGAAGTGGTAAATCGTCGATTAGCCCAATTCGAAGTTTATTATGGCACGCCAGGGGAAATATTTTTTAATGAACTTCAAACTAAGCTAACTCCATCACGCGTTTCGCCGAAACAGACAATTGAAACTGTATGCGACACATTTTTCAATTAATTAAATAAACTATGTCAAAAACTTTAGTCTCAATTCTCTGTTCCAATTTCCCGACGCGTCCGCTTGAATTAACACATTATGGTGTAATAAAGATAATAAATAATGGAATGGAAATGCCGATGTACAGAAAAAAAATAAGTAGCGATATGCTATTAGTCAAAATATGCAAGAACTTATGGGTGGACCTGCAAGCTTAAAGAGTTAATACTTTGTAAAAGTACCGAAAATTATTTTTAATTCAAAATGGAAATGATAATAAATAGATGAGTGGATAATAAAATAGATGAGTTAAAGCAAGGGTCTTACCAAGACCTAGAAAAAATTTTTAGAGAAAAAATATTATTAAAAACAGACCTATATCTGTGCCGTCTTCTTTGGTTAACGATAAAATTCGAAAAGGTTGGGTAAACCTAGAGCGTGCTTATTGCTTTCCAACTCGCAGGATGATGTAGAAAGGTGGGAAAAACATCACTGAGAAAGAGCCAATGTAAAGTGACTGACCATTGGCAAAAAACCTGACTCATTGCAAAGGGGGGTAAAATGTGTTAAAAAAAGCGAAAAAGTTCAAAATGGCGTCTGGTCTTAGTAGTTTGAAGAAAATTTGACTGGGTGAAAGAGAAAATGGCTAATTCAACAAAATATTACCTAAAATGGCCACCAAAGTCAGCAGAAATAATGAAAAATAGCAATTTGTTAATTAAAGTCATAATTCTTCAAGCTAGAGGGCTTTCAAGTGCCAGAAATGAAATAGCCCATTTAATGACAGAATAGAATTGGCCAGCAAATGTTTAAAATCTATTTAAAAATAGAATTAAAAGTATTGTGCCAAATGTTAAGAGGAAAAATAGACATTGTGACAGGAATTATTTGTACATTTATGCATTAGATCTTCAGAATCAGCCATCCACTTCACATCGTCCCATAGGGCTTTAAGCATAAAATTTCATTATCTAATTCAAAAAATCTAAAAAATGGTAAAGTTAATGCCAGCTATTTTTAATGTATTTTTAATTATTTTTTGAGGAATTAGGTTGTTTTTCAATATTGTGACAAAGTATAGTACTTCTTCTTGAAGGTCTTTTGTTGTATTGCAAATTCTTTTAATTCTAAGTAGCTGTAAGTAAATTGTGTTGAGGATGACTCTTTTAGAAATATTGGAATTCCAATTGGTTAATTTAAGTCTTGTAAAGTTGAATTCTCTTATCATAGACTTTAAAAAAAATTGTAATCTATAATATGCAAATCAAGGTAGACTATCTCATGTTGCACGGTATTTGTAGTATTAAGTTTTAGGCATGAAGGGTCGATACAGTAGACGTTCATTTTTACGAACCTCTTTTTTACGAACACTCTCGATTTGACGAACTAGCGAATGGTCCCGAATACACTCCCATAGATGTAATGTAATTTTGCGCTCTTATTTACGAACTACAAATCAGGAAAATCTCTTTGTTTCGAACTCAGTTTTCATACTTCTGCATGTTGCATTGGGACGAAGTGTGAAGGTCAAATAAAATCTCCAACTATTTTGAGGCAGCAAGTGCGAAACATTCGAAGAAGTACAGTAAGGAAGGAGGGGGCGGAGAAGAGGGGGAATTAGGACAAATTTATGGTGTTGTTTGTTGTGCGAGGCTCTCAGAAGAGCATCGGCCTGATGTTGTTGGGTGGGGGTTAGACCATTCGTGTTAAAGGGGTTTGGGTTGCTTCTAAAAGAGAGTTGTTGCTTTTTGTAATGTCATAGTCATTTGATCTGGACAACTCAAATCAGTGAAGTCTCGTTAGTCGAGAGTGAGATTGGGCCAGTTTTTGTTAAGTAAGATTCTTAGAGCTATGTCGCAAATGAAGAAACGAATTTGTTTAGCGGTTGAAATAAAGAAGAAGATTTTAAAAGAAGTTGACGAAAAAATCTTCTTTGGAGCTAAAAACGGAAACGATGAATGTGGACCCTCCTCTCGAAAATATTTTCGAGAATCAAAACACGCAAATTTGGAAAGGGCTTGCTTGTTTGGTTTCGAAAGATGAGAAGCTTAAACATTCCAATTGATGGAAATGTACTTAAAGAACAAGCACACTTTTTTGCTTCCAAATTAAACATCAAAGATTTTAAAGCATCGTATGGTTGGTTACAGAAATTTAAATTTCGGAAAGGTTTGAGTGTCCGGAAAGTGTGTGGTGAAAGTGCAGCAGTAGACACGTCATCAGCAAATGAATGGAAAGAAGAAAAGTTGAAATTGCTTCTTTCTGAATACGCTGCAGATGACGTTTTTAATGTGGACAAAACAGCTTTGTTTTTTAAAATTTTGCCAGAAAGAACATTAGCTTACAAAGGAGATAAATGTGTTGGAGGTAATAAAGCTAAAGAGAGACTTACAGTTTTGATTGCAGCCAACATGACTGGGTCACAAAAATTGCCTCTGCTCTTTATTGGAAAATATATGAAACCAAGGTGTTTCAAAAATGTTCAGAAGATTCCTGCTGCATATTACGCTAATAATAAGGCCTGGATGACTAGCAACATCTATGAAAAATGGTTGAGAGATTTAGATAACCTACAAAGCAAAAGCATGTTTCGATGTCCATTAAACAAAAAGTGAAATTGCTGCAAAAAATGGATAAAGGCATATTTTTTGTTTATCTAAACTTTGTTTATCTTTAACGCCGCGGGGGCGTGCAATGAATTGGAAGTTGATCTGTCAGCACTATCCTTATCTTAAGGGCAGATGTTTTTATTTTATTTGGCTTATAATTGCTTACTCAATGTAGTATTTCATCTCGATGTACTAAACAACTTACATTGAAAGAAATGTTTAATAAAGTAAACAAATAAATATTAAGCTTTTTTTTTTTTTGTAAATTTTGATACCCATTAGATCATAATTGTTCTTTATTTCGTAAATTACGGTTTCATATTTTTAATTTTATAATTTCTGCATGCCATTTTACCAGATTTAAACTGATGATCTATAATCCGGAAAAATCGATAATCCGGAATCGCTGAAGTTCCGACGAGTCCGGATTAACGATTTTTGACTGTATTTGAAAATGCTCAGAATTGCAGTACGTTGTCTATCTTTTGTGAGATTGGTGTTGAGATTTTTAAATTTTTTTATATGCGATCTATGGTTATTAATTCTGATGTTGAGAGGCTTTTTAGTTTGACCTATATATGTGAGGGAACATTCTTTATAGGTTATTTGGTAGATAAAATTTCAAAGTGATTGTTTCAAGAGATACAATTTCAAAGTCTTAAAAAGTGATTGTTGTTTAAAAGATCTAGAAGGAGAAAGCGTAACATTAGCCTTAAATGTTTTACAAAGCATGTTGCTTCATTTAATTATTTCTAAGTTATTAATCTGAGCCAGTAATTAAAAGTAAAGAGGGAGCTAGCCTGCTTTACAGTGTTTTTTTGGAAGGAAGTGTAACTGTTTTTTTAAAAGTGTAATTGTGAACAGTATCCGGCAACTTATTAGCTAAAGCTTAAAAAAAAAAAAAAAAAAAAAAAAAAAAAAAAAAACTAATACTTTTTTACGTTTAAAGCTGTGAAAAAGAAATATAATTTAAAGTAAAGTAGAAAGAACAAACGATAAAAGACCTATGTGGTCAAAAATTTTGCACATTGTGCTGCAAAATTAAAAGATAAATTCTAGCACGAACGCTAAAAAGCTGCTTAAATACTGTGGTTCCGTGAAAACTTTAACATAAGCAAAATTAGTTGCAATGAAATGTGTTAAAAGAGAAAAATACAACATTTGATTACTTACAAGTAAAAATCAACAATAATAGTAAGCTATATGCTAAACTAATTAAGTATATTTAAAACATAGTGAAAGTATTAACTCATTAACCCCTTGGGTACATTTGACATCTGAGACACGTCATTCACTTTTTCTTCCCTAGGAGCGGATGACATGTCTAAGACATCAAACCAAAAATTAAAGTCTTGGGTACATTTGACGTCTGAGAGACGTCATTCACTTTTTTTCCCTAGGAGCAGATGATTCACATACTTATAACGAAACATTCAAATGCTGATTTGATAAACGCAGGCAAAAGTAGACAAGATGCAGGTGACGATAGTGAAAATATTATAAAACCGGCATCAGATATGGCCTTTTATAATGCTTATGTTTTATTTTAAAATATGCACAACCAAGGCAGGCCTTTTTGTTTAGCTATTGCCGAAGAATTGCTGGAGCAATTGTCATTGCCAAATTATAAGCGTCGTGGACGCCCGTCAAGTAGCGATACAAAAACCATTTCGTTTGGCAGCGAAAAATTGGGCACACTTTTCTGAGAACATTCCGTCGACTAAGTCCAAGCAACATCCTGGAAAAAGGTGCCGTGTCTGTTATAAGCATCATATTAGGAAAGAGACTACGTGGCAGTGCAAACAATGCAAAGTAGCACTGCATTTACTTACTTGCTTGAAAAATTTCACACTCTGCATAATTATTAGTAATTTTTTTTTTTTTTTGTTATAGCTTGAATTTATTTCATTTAGTTTTATTTTGTTGTTGTTAATTTATTTTTGTTTTGCAATTCTAGTTACTTGAAGACATCTTAATACTACATATGTCACCAATATTTTAGAAATAAATAAATTCTTACGTAAAATGTACTGCTTTTGCATTCTATTTCAAGCAACCAAAAATTATATCCGCTCCCCATGCAAATATTTTCTCAAATAAATCCGTACCCAAGGGGTTAATCGAGTTAAAAATAAAATTAAGAAGCGGTAAATGGCAGATTAGCCCAATTCGAAGTTCACTATGGCACGTCAGGAAAATATTTTTTAATTGGGAATTGGAGCTAATCAGGGAATCAGGGATATATCTATATATATATATATATATATATTGTTACGAAATGTCAAGATGTGGTGAGATGGCTTACCCGCAAAGCAGTTTTAGGGTTGCCACATTTGGCGAGAAATTGCCCATTTCCCAACAAAATTGGCGATTTACCATGGATGGATGGAGAACTTTCTGGAACAAATTCTTACCAATTTAGCCCAGAATGTTCTCAAACTCGAGCTATATAAACCCTGCTGGTCCGCAGTCAGTTAGTGTCTCAGAGTATGTTTCGTCGAGAGGGCGAGTGAAAGTGCCTTGTCTGGAGTTTGAGATAGTCAGTATTCAGTTGGTGTCTCGTCTAGTGAGTCAGTCCCTGCAGAGTCGATCGAGTTGACAGCCGGGCAGCCAGTGCCGAGTGGGTCGTCGAGTTCACCGAAGGAGTCTGTTAATGTATCGCAGTTAGTGCATCGTCGAAAGAGTGTGTTGAGCTCCGGGAACGACTGAACCAAAGAGTCGGGAACTGTGCTCTGAGTGTCATCGAGTGCATCACGAGTTGTAGCGTGGAGAGTCTCGAGAGTACGTGGAGTTCCGAGAACGACCAAGCAGAGTCGGGAGCCGTACTTTAGTCCTTTGCCATGAAGCTGTCTCCACCGTGATAGCCTGATAACCTAAAGGCTGTGTCGCTAATTCTGTCAGCGTGTTTGTAGTAGATCTTCGACGACTGTAAAATGTGTTACTGGAGCTGTCCTGATTAATATTGGCATAATAAAGTGTGTTTCGATACTTCATCAAGTGTCGTCGTTATTCACTCCAAATCTATGAACCCTGTACGAACGTGAAGGAAAAGAAAATAATGTAAGGTCAGAGGAAAGAAAAACGTAACAATTGGTGTCAGAAGTGGGATTTGTGAGTGAATGCCAGTGACCCGCCTGCAGAGGAAAACCATGATGGAGGGAACAAAGACTTTGATGGACTTCTTAGCCGAGATAAAAGCTGGGTATAAAGAGATAAAAGCTGGATATAAAGAGATGACAGCTGAGATCATAGCCGGACTAGAAGAGAAGAAAGGCCGACGAGAAGAGATAAATGGCGGCCAAGAAAAGGTGCGAGAGCTACTCCAACAGCCGAAAGTGGAGCTTACAGAAGAAACTAGAGCCATAAAAGATGATGTGGCTATGAGAGAAGTGGTTTCTGAAGAATGAAAGGGTGAAGAAATGAAGAAAGTAGCTAATGAACTGTCTGAGAAAGATGAAACATCTGACGGGATTAAAGAAACAGAACGAAAACATGAAGAAATAAAAGACGCGAAAGAAGCTTTTGATTCTCAAGTGCCTGAAGTGGAAGTGGAAGAAAGTGAAAATGCGACTGTTAAGTTCATCGAAACTGATAGTGAAATTACGAAGTCGCAGTTAGCAAGAATTGAACTATCTGAAAATGCATGTGATGCAGAGATGGAAGAAGCTGATGCACAGCTTATGCAGAGTTCTCCAATATTGCAAAAAGATTCTCCCATTTCACAAACTGAGTATGTGTCTCTTAATACAAGTTGTACAGACACGAATTTGATTTTAAGTGAGAATACTTGTGTTTGTGAAGAATCGGATTCCGTTCATAACCCTGGTGCAAACATCGGAACTGGCTTTCAAGAAATAGTTGTAAATAAGCATGTACCAGCTGCTAAAAATACCAAGGTGAACTGTATGCATGCTGCAAATGAATTGCAGAGTGGTGAACAAACTGTTTCACATCTTCCTGTGGATGACAAGTCTGAAAAAACTATATCTTCAGATTGTGATACGCGAAACAGAAATGCATCTGAGAACTGCAGTGGAAAAGTATTTGACCCGGGTATATTTTAATGAAAAGACTGAGACTTAAGTTCATTCTTAACTTTAATTTGTATAATTTAGAGTTGTGATGTGTTTAATTTGTGTATATGACTTGAACATAGAGTAAATATTTGTTTCTTTTAAAATTGTGATGTGTTTAATTCGTGTATCTAACTTGTAAATAGTGTAAATATTTGTTCCTTTAGTTATGTTACTTGTTTGTTTTATTATGTTTTGTTGTATCGAATTTGGCTTCTGACCAAGGGTTGTACTGCCTGGGACGTGCAGTCCTTGGGAGGGGGCATACGAAATTTCAAGGCGCAGTGAGATGGCTTCCCTGCAAAGCAGTTTTAGGGTTGCCATAAAATGGGAAGGTTAGTGTCTCAGAGTGTGCTTCATTGAGAGGGCAAGTGAGAGTGCCTTGTCTAGAGTGTGAGATAGTCAGTATCGAGTTTGTGTCTCGTCTAGTGAGTCCCTGCGGAGTCGATCGAGTTGACAGCCGGGCAGTGAGTGCCGAGTTCATTAAAGGAGTCTGTTAGTGTATCGCGGTTAATGCATCGTCGAGAGAGCGTGTTGAGCTCTGGGAACGACTGAAACCGAAGAGTCGGGAGCTGTGCTCTGAGTGTCGTTGAGTGCATCGCGAGTTGTAGCATCTCGAGAGTACGTGGAGTTCCGAGAACGACCAAGCAGATTTGGGAGCTGTACTCTAGTCCTTTGCCGTGAAGCGGTCTCCACCCTGATAGCCTGATAACCTGGAGGCTGTGTCGCTGATCATGTTAGCATGTTTATAGTAGATCTTCGACAACTGTAAAAAGTGTTACTGGAGCTGTCCTGACTAATATTGGCTGAATAAAGTGTGTTTCGATACTTCATCAAGTGTCGTCGTTATTCATTCCAAATCTACGAACCCCATACGAAGGTGAAGGAAGAAAATAACGCAACAACTGGTGTCAGAAAAGAGAAAAATGCAACAATACATATGATAATGGAAGAAAGGCAAACTAACTAAAAGGACCTGCGAGGTCAAGAATTTTGCGCATTGAGCTGCAAAATTTGAAATAATATTAAAAAGTAAATTCTTCAAGCTATTGCCTATGAGCTAAAGTAATACTGCGCTTCCTTTGCAAAGTAGTTTGAACATTAAGATCCAATTGTAATTTATTTATATATGTACATATGTATATACATCTTAGAACACATTTTATAATGCCTAAGTAAATATAGTACACGGTAATATGGGTCTAATAATTTGTGCATTTCCAAATCAGATGATGGTGGTTCAGTGAGTTTACTAATTTTAACACTTTAAACAATATTTTATACATTTGAAACAATATTTTATGTTCACTATATACAGAGCATATTCTTAGGCCGCCGCCTTCAACATGAACAAACTTTATTCTCTTTAACTAAGCGAGCAACAGCGCCCTCTAACCTTTTCCTTCAAATTACATAACACTCCCCACCTGAACTCAGTGGAGAGTTCATCTTTCAATAATATATTCTATAATACTAATTCAGAAGTCAAACAACAAAATTTATAATTACTTAATTATATTATAATAAATTATAATAAAATTTATAATTTAAAATTTATAATTAATTTATAATCAACATATTCTATAATATTCAATTAATATTTAGACAATCAATCCTAGAGAAATTGTTATATATAACAAACATGCATACATAATTATAAGCACATAAAATTTACAAAACATTAAATGATACCTATCAGCAAGGTCAGGAGAATCAAACCTAAAAATACAAAATACAAACATTAGTTAAATTCCATATTATATAGGCCCTTTTAAGGTACCAGTAGGTGTTTTAATTATGCAAGATCTTATTTTACCATCTCTGCCTGGCATTAATTCCAAAATTTTACCTATTGTCCAGAGATTTCTGGGATGTTTATCATCATGAATCAAGACAAATATTGTTGATTTTAAACTGAGATGTGTTAGAGTGTGGAGGACAAATATTGGCAGATCTCAGATTAAAAAGATAATCTGATCTCCAACGCTTCCAAAAATGATTTAAAATATCTTGATGGTATTTATGTCGTTTAATAATTGAATTTCTTGATCCAATCAAGTTATTTGATGTTATTTTATTAGCAGGCAGAGATAGTAATCGTCTACCAACCAGAAAATGAGAGGGTGTCAGTGGAGAAGGTTCATTGGGATCGGTAAACACGTAGGTAATTGGTCTACAATTAATCATTGCCTCGATTTCAACGAGCACTGTTTCAAGCTATTTCACGTAAGGGATGATCGACCAATAATTTTGCGTAAGCTGGATTTTATGGTTCATACCATACGCTCCCAAAAACCTCCCCACCATGGACCCCTCTCAATAATAAATTTCCAATTTATGCCTCTAGCAGAAAATAATTCTTTCACAGATGAGTCACTCAAAGTCTTGAAAATATGTTTTAGTTCTTTGTCAGCTCTTTTAAAAGTCTTGGCATTATCGGAGTACACAGTGATACACAGTCCTCGGCAAACTAAAAATCTTCGGAAAGCTAGCAAAAACTTTCAATGCTGAGATCAGTTACTATCTCTATATGTAAGGCACGAGTGACCACACACGTTAACAACAGCATGTAAACTTTACCTTGCCTGTCTTTCGTAAAAAATGGACCGGCGAAGTCCAACCGGTCACAGCAAATGGAGGCGACTCTTGGATTCTATCTGGAGGAAGTGGAGCGATATCCTGTACCCCAGAACGAGCACTATATCATTTGCATATCACACATTTGCTGATGATAGTCTTAACACGCTGTCTTCCCTTAACCCCTTCGAGCCGGGTAGCGAAAACGCGCGCTTATCGCTGAGGCCGGCAGTGTTTTACGCGAGCGTCTCTCCAGGGCCGGGGGCTTTTTTGCTACTAAGCCTAAATCCATGAAATTTCCGAAGTATCAACGCATTGTTTAATAA